CGGCTCGGCTGGGAGAAGGGGAGCGTGGATAAACGCACGGGAGAGGAGAGGAGAATACAAACAGCGGGAGGTGCGGAGGGCGAGAAGGAATGCTGTAATACCTGATACACAGAGCACACGCTCAGGCACTCGGCTGTCATTTTCATTGATGTTTCGTCATTTTCAATGAAGTTCATTAAAGGTGCACTGAGGAAGACGTCATCTGGTGCCTCTTGTGTGAGACTGAGTCAGTAAATGCAGCTTCAGCTGTGGCTCTGCCACTGACCAGGGGACTGACCTTGGGCAAGTCCCGGTGCCTGAGCTGCCCTCTCTATTGAAAGAAGAGAGCTGTGAGAGCTAGCGGTTCCTGTGTTATCTCATGGCCACAGGCACATCCTCCCTCCGCACTGCTGAAAGATCAGAATAACACGATGAGATATAAAGGTGGTGTGTCTCTGAGGGTACTGGTGAAGGCACAGCGTGGCACCATGTTTTTCCCCTCTCTGCTTTATGAGCTGCAGATGATCAAGTCCTTTCTGTTTTTACTGGTGGAGCATCTCGGATACAAAGCGAGAGGCTTGAAGTGACTTCTGTGGGGTTACGTGGTGTCGGTGCTGCAGCAAGGAGTTAAGACCTGGGAATCCTGGCTCTCTGAGGCTGGTAGTAAATCCTGAGAGTTTCTGGAACCTCAGGAGAATCCCCGTAAACTTTAAGCGAGCAGTCTCCTCAATAAAGTGTCTGTCTGCGGCGGTTCTGAGTCACCAGTTGCTCAGTACTCCAGTTTCCAGGCACTGTACCAAAGAGGAGTATAATAGAGCCTGCTGCTTTATCTGTTCAGTGTGCTAATCTAAATGAATTTCTGCTAGACATCACAAATCTCCGAGCTTTCTGTCTCATTTCACTTCAAATCGGCTTGTCGTGCTCGTTACGGATTCAGTCTTGTCGGGAGGCACTGAAGTATTTATAACGAGGAGAGGTGGGTGAGAGCAGTTATTAATGGAGGCTGAAATAGAGCTGGGCTTTGCTGCGAGGTACCCCTCCTCCTCAGATGAAAGGGTTGTTCTTAAGGACAATGCTCCTTTTTTAGATAAATACACATTTCTTGCTGCTTTTACTTAATACTGCTGTTTGGTCTGCCTTTCCTCGCACAATTTCATCCCGTTCCTGCTCAAAGTACCCTTTTTCCCCTCTGACTGGGCCAGTAGTTAGTGTTCACCCGTGTCTCTCCTTGTGTTTTTCCAGGAAGAACAGGGAGTCACCAAAAAAAATCTGGAACTTTACCTATTTTCCTACTATAGCTGGAGTTACTCTGTCATTTGGGGCAGTTGGTCTGATCCTGCCCCTCTCTTCATAACTATTGTGGATGTTTTGCAGGAATGCATTTTCAACAGTTTGATGTTGTATAAAAAGATTATGTTTTTCCATTCCGGTTTTGTTTCCTCTAAATACCTCCAGCTTCACCCTCCCTGTGGGTCTGTCTTTCAGCTATGCTCATTTACCCACAAGAATTTTGCTACTGAATCATTAATCTGCCTTTATTTTCTGCTTTCAATTTGCATATGAAATAATTCCATGTTCCTTTTGTTACGTCTTCATTTGAAGTCATCACTGCATGGGGTGTGTTTTTGTTCCTTTTCTGTCTGGAAATTTGCAAGGAGAGGGTCACGAGAGGCAGCAAGATCAGGGCAATATGAAAGAGTTGTTTCACACCAGCCGTTTGGGTGAAGTGAATCACGTGTCTCATAGGGTGACAGTGGTCACTCCCGGTGATCTGTAAAGCTGGGCTTTGCCGTCGGTGACAGAGCTGAGTTATGAATGTATTTCAGGAGGCTTAGCCTGTGTTTTGCTTTAGCAGCTTAAATTCCTAGAGCAGAAGAGCCTAAAAACTTGCAGTGCTTTCGCCATCTGTGCTTTTCACTCTTTTGTCCTATATTTAGCTTGGAAAAGAAAACAGATGAGGAGGTTTCACTTTTTGGTTCAGGGCTGCAGTAGTGGGGAGGCAGATTCTGCAGGAGGGTGTTTATAACCAAACATCAAACCGTTACAGCTGGAACAAAGAGCTCTCCCTCGGAGCTGGCTGAAGCTTCACGTGTTTGAACTTGAATCTGGTTTGAACTCCTCCGAGGCTGTACAGTGAGAGCTGTATTTTGGGTGTGTTTACCACTCTGTAATTATTTATGGAAGCACCTCTATTGCTTTAAAATAAAACAGTGATTTGCCTTTACCTCTTTTTGCTTTTGTTTGAAAGTAACCTCTTTTTATTGTCTTTTTTTTTTTAATATTTTTTATTTGAATAGTGCTCAGTATAACTGCAGCAGAGGTTCTTGAGGTTCTATTTATCTCCATTTGGTGACAGGGAAACCATGGCAAGCCAAACTGCCAAAACTTAACTTTGTATAACACTTTGGGATTGGAGTTCTCAGGCTGCAGTAGAAA